TGAAAAAGAAAATGATTTATTGTCTCTGAGATATGAATTAAATTTTCCTATAGTTAATCTCTGAGATATTAATTAAATTTTCCTCTATCATAAAAAAAATATTTTTGTGCACACACACACACACACATATATATATATATATATATATATATATATATATATATATATATATATATATATATGCTCCCAAAAAATTTATTTTGGTTGAGCTCTCTGGAGAGGAAGAGTGAGTTTGTAAACAGTGCCTATTACTTCTAATAATGCAAGACTCTTCGGTAAAGCGAAAGGTGTTCTCTCAGTCATTGTGTGTTTATCTAAAAATAAATACACTTAAATTCACCTTCATCCCTGCCGTATGCAAATGCTTAGGGGTAGAATCTCCAACTGACACTAATTTTGATCCTAGCTAGAGTCAACTGGATGTCTAGCCACACTGATGAGCTGTGAAACAGCAAAACAGTCTGTCTGTGGATGACAATATATTAATATATAAATATTGAGAGAGAAGAATTAGTTTTTTCTTAATAGATAAGCAATTTACTTAAATTCCTACTACTCCCATTTATCCATATTCCCAAGATTTCTATTTAACTTTTAAAGCAGGACAATCTTAAGAGAAGTAGAAGTTCTACCAGGATTTATTATCTGTAGGAACACTCGTAACAACATAAGATATGAGGATGACACAGTGTTGATGGCAGACACAGAAATAAAACTGCAGGTACTCTTAGACAATATAGTAAAAGTGTTAGGGGAAGCTAATTTCCTTCCCCTATAAAGGACAATAACTCAAAATACAATTGATTTACTTCCCTTGTCTGAAGACAAGCATACCACCTGACACACATGTGGAATTTATTGTTTCAATCCAAACAAATTCTTGCTGTTCACAGACAGTGAATAAATAAAGGTTGTTTATTTATGCATCAAAATACACTTCTCTTTTGTTTCCATTCATCTTGTTCATCCCAAAAGTTTGGGATATAACAAAAAGAAAGGGGAAAGAAACCATCAATTGTAAAAAAAAAAACAAAAAAAAACAAGGTATGGCATTTTCAGCAAGAGGAATGGCCGAAAATGCTATTTATGAATTGGAGATATCAAAATGAAGCAAGTATGCAAATTTAAATATCCAGGAAACATTTTAATAGACAATGGAAGATGTATTACTGAAATCCAAATGTCAATTTGAAATAGTGAAAGATACATTCCAAAAACTAAACATCAAACTAAATATTAAGAATCAGGAAAATTTAATTGGAAGTAAAAATATGAAACTGCTATGTAATATCAATTATCTTATATAGCTGTAAATACTGGGCAATTTCCTTATAGATCAAAAGGAAACCAAAAGAGATGTGGTTCCCCAGAAGGAAGCCTGAAAATACCATGGACTGAATAACAAGGAAGTCTTAAAGAAAATGGCAATACAAAGGACACTTATACTTAAAATCAGAATAGTTGAAATTTCTAGGCTATGTAATAAGGAAAGAGGGCTTGGAGAATTTGACACTAACAGAACATACTGAAAACAAGAGGGGTGGGGAAGAATTAGCAAGTAACATACCTGACAAAATTGTGTGGCTGGATGGCAGAACATGAATTTGGAAGGTTAGTAACAGGACAAATGTTGCTTACAGCTAGAAAGAATAGGAAATTGTGGAGATTCATGATCATTCACATACCGAATGATCATAGAACATACTTAGTAAAATAAATATTTCAGACAAGTTATAATAATACTGATTTTGGCAAATGGCTATGGTTGTGAAATTTTCAGCACCCACCTTTATAACCAAATCTAAAATCTACCTATATGTTTGGATGAAGAGAGGATGATATCTTAGATTTTACAAGTTTATGCATGCTATTTTGCATACTGTGTTGTGAGGATCCTCTAAAGAGTAGAGAGCATGTTCCCTAGAAAATTCAGTATGAATTCAATGAAGCAGTTTTTAAAACCAATGACTTGCAGTTGAGATAAAGTTGATATGATGTCTCTTACCCAATGGATGCACATAAATGTAATCAGACTTAAATAAATCAATAAAAGATGAGAGATTATTTTACATATATATACATATATATATATATATATATATATATATAATGTGTGTGTATATGTGTCTGAAGAGGAAAAGTATTAAGGTAGGCTTAAAAATGTACAGAAATAAAACAAAGTAAAGTTAAAAAAAACAATCTACCAAGAATAGAGGACGAAGTAGAAGTCAAGGAATACATCTATTTAGGACAGACAAAAACATAAAAGAAGTGCCATAAAACTGAACTAAAACAACATATAACAATTGGTTGGCAAATATTTTATAAAAATAGACATGTTGAAAAGTAACTTGCCAATATATTTAAAGCATAAAGGTTATAATGAAGGGCTAATGTGAATAATAATATACAGGTGTGAAAGATGGAAATTAACAAAATTTCAGAAAACAGAGATCAACATACAAATAAATTCTCAGGATAATACTAAGAGATAGAAATTGGTTAAAATAGATCAGAGAATGGATTAAAATAGGTTAAAATGGACCAGAGAAGAGACTAAGAGTTAGAAATAAGTTAAAATGGATAAGAGAAGGAAGCAAGAGATAGAGGTTAAACAGATCAAAGAAGGGACCAAAAGATAGAAAGAGGTAAAAATGGATAAGAGAAGGATCAAGGGGTAGAAAGACATTAAAAGTGGATCAAAGAAGGGACCAAAAGATAGAAAGAGGTAAAAATGGATAAGAGAAGGATCAAGGGGTAGAAAGACGTTAAGTGGATCAAAGAAGGGACCAAAAGATAGAAAGAGGTAAAAATGGATAAGAGAAGGAAGCAAGAGATAGATTAAAGAAGGGACCAAAAGATAGAAAGAGGTAAAAATGGAAAGAGAAGGATCAAGGGGTTTAAAAGTGGATCAAAGAAGGACCAAAAGATAGAAAGAGGTAAAAATGGATAAGAGAAGGATCAAGGGGTAGAAAGACGTTAAAAGTGGATCAAAGAAGGGACCAAAAGATAGAAAGAGGTAAAAATGGATAAGAAAGGATCAAGGGGTTTGAAAGACGTTAAAAAGTGGATCAAAAAAGAAGTGACCAAAAGATAGAAAGAGGTAAAAATGGATAAGAGAAGGATCAAGGGGTAGAAAGACGTTAAAAGTGGATCAAAGAAGTGACCAAAAGATAGAAAGAGGTAAAAATGGATAAGAGAAGGATCAAGGGGTAGAAAGACATTAAAAGTGGATCAAAGAAGGGACCAAAAGATAGAAAGAGGTAAAAATGGATAAGAGAAGGATCAAGGGGTAGAAAGACATTAAAAGTGGATCAAAGAAGGGATTCAAAGATAGAAAGAGGATAAAATGAATTAGAGAACATACCAAGATATCATAGAATTGAGTAAGTAATAAAAAAGAAGGTTAGCAGCTGACACGGCAAGTTGAAAGGATAACATATACTATAAGAGGTTGAATGATTAACAACTGGTAGATAGCAAAACTCATGGGCAAAGACAGGACCAGTAATAGAGAAATAAGTTGGTTTGCTATTAAAATATAGTGGAGAATATTACAGTCATAGTCCCCATGGAAGAAATTAGGAAAGGCCTTTTTCCAGCAGTCAACTTGCAATGGCTGTTAATAGTAATGATGATAATGATGATGCACTGTGACACAGTTTTGAAGATGCACAAAGTAAAAGCAAGGATTTTAAATGCTGATTTTTAGCCATGATGACTATTCAACCTCATTGGAAAATTAATCTATTACATTTTTCTCATCTTCATTTAGCCCACTCTATGATTTTTATTGTACTAAAGTAAACTTAGTACATGTAGATTGGTATATAGTTATTAATGGGGTGGGTTGGTTTACATTGAAACACAGGTTCCCTTAAAGTTAAGCAACATCGAGTCTGGTCAGTATCTTGATGGGTGACCACTTGGGAATACCAGGTGCTGTAAGCCTGGAGGTGCTGATGGTGTAATGGTTAATGGATCAAAATTCTTAATCAGAGAGCAAACTTCCAATTCCAGTTGTGTTGGTTATATTTACTTATGTATAAATACCCTTGGGAAACGTTTGAATCCAACCTCTTCTCCACCCCCAACTATGGATCAATTAGTAAGACTTGTATTGCTAAATCATTATTATCTCAAAAAAAAATTCTTATAAAAATATTTTCTGGCTTTAAATAACTTGCAAATGTTGATAAACTGTAAAAAACAAATCAATCAATTAAAAGAGAAAAGAGTACTGGACTATTATGTAATATATGGCAATTAATGTTGAGAAGTCCCTTAACAGATGAAGAAGAGATAACAGCAAAAACTGCAATTTGAGCACTGGTAAAAAATGTTGCTGAAGACATTGTTTATAAGTCCTAGAAATTCATATACAAATGTCCTTACACATGGAAGGCGTTGGTTAGAGCTAATGATAGTTGTGGGTTAAATAACTGGATAAGAAGAAATTAGAGGTGACGTAACAGGAGATAACTGATAACTATTAGACGTGGAAAAACAGTCACCCCAGCAAGCAAAAATAAATTCATAACATTAACCACCTGAAGAAGGCTGGAGGGTATAACAGCCAAAACATTGTGATAAATATAGTTACTGAAGATCAGGACAATAGTCCGAATAATGTAAATAGTGTACATAATACCTCATCTCAGAAATATAGACAGATAATGAAGAAAAGACTTGAAAAGATTAAAAGGTTAACTAGTAGGACTTGTATCAGTAAATCATTATTATGCCCCCAAAATTCTTGCAATCTAAAAATATTTTCTGGCTTTAAATAACCTGCAAAATCAAATCAATCAATCAATCATTTATTGATTTATGCTGTCAAATTAAAATTATAAAGAACTATAAGAGAATTAGTGATGATTGATTAACAGAAGAACAAATGTGACATTCTTTCTTTTCATGACATAAGTTGTTTTCAGTGCATTACATTTTACTTTGAGAATTTGTGATCAACTGCTGTTTTTTTTTTTACTTTCTTTCAGAGTGACAGTTAAGGCCTTAGATTGTGCCAAACCTGAATGGCCTCAATGCCCAAACAACGTGCAGCTCCTATGGAAGGCAATGGATTCAGGACTTACATTTCTCTGCACTGAAAAACTGGATGGTAAGTTAATTTCTATTCATGCACTTTTACTATTTCCATATGTTATATTCAGTTAAATCTTGAAACTGAATTCACTATGCTAATTTCACTTTTGGACTTACTCATTTGATTACCATAAAATAAAAATATTCTTAGAATTCTCTCCAAGCTATGAATGATTTCATATTCACTTATGGTTTTGTCAATATTGTATTAACCTTAAAGGTGTTTTCATCTTCACAGCTACACTTCAAGCTTCCTTGTGTTAAGAAAGTAGGCATGTGGAGGTAATGCAATGCAGCTTGGAAACTGAAGTGCCGTGTTTAATTTCCAGTCAAGATCATTACATTCATATGCGCAAATACCATTCAGAAAAGTATGAATCTATCTTGACTCCTCCTCTAACTATGAGTTAAATAGCAGTGAAGACCAGGGTCTTCACTCATGGTTGATCATCTCAGAGTAGGACAGCTCTAAATTCAAAACCATACATGATCCTGATGTTTCAATGGAGATACCTTAAGCAAGAGCTTTTCTTAAGTTTTGACTAAAGTATTAAATAAAAAAAAAAAAAATTTGTTGAACAAGAGTTTTATAAGGATCCATGTAATGGCTTATGCAACTATTTCACTTTTTTATAAGAAAATTATTAAAATTAACCAGAAAGGATATAAAAATATGTTTAAGTTAATTTTATATTTACATTATACTTATAAAATATAAAGTTTACGTAGTTCTGCAGTTTTTTCCCTGAATATTAAACTAAACAATATTCTGTTCACTATTGATTATCATTTGTATATCTCCAGATGAACTCACTTCATAAAAATAAGTGAATACATCACCAGAACAGTCCATCTTTATGTAATATATTCTTGTGATGACAGAGACAAGTGTCACACACACTGATTGACGCTGCCATTGATTCTGACATATAGCCAGCTATTACTCATTTCTGAGCACACCCATCTGCCAGAGCAGCTAGCCCATCCTTATTACAGACACCTGCTCAACCAACAGAAAACATCTATGATTTATATTGCAACAATGTTGAGCAGACCTTCATAATAGTTTCTGACAGAGAGAACATATCTAATGTGATCGATTTCTTGTATAAGGCCAGTACACTCAAACTCTCAGTCATTTTGACTTATGACTTCTTGCTAACTCAACCATTAACAGTTTCCAAATGGTTCCATGAGCTGAATCTAACTCACAAAGCTTAGGTCAACTGTGGTATGGCTCTCAGGTACTTTCCATAGGTGCAACACACAGGGAACACCTCCCCAAGTTGATAACTGCAAGAAGTTCTTGATGAACAAATCAAACTTAGTGAGAATCAAATCTGAACCTCATGGTCAGAAAGTGAATGTTCTAACTGCTTGTCCATGTTGGCATATGAGGACATAATAATTTACTTGTAAACATATGAGGACACAATAATTTACTTGTAAACATATGAGGACATAATAATTCAATTGTAAATATATGAGGACATAATAATTCACTTGTAAATATATGAGGACATAATAATTCTCTTGTAAACATATGAGGACATAATAATTCTCTTGTAAATATATGAGGACATAATAATTCAATTGTAAATATATGAGGGCATAATAATTCAATTGTAAATATATGAGGACATGATAATTCACTTGTAAATATATGAGGACATAATAACTCGCTTGTAAACATGTGAGGACATAATAATTCAATTGTAAATATGAGGACATAATAATTCACATGTAAACATATGAAGACATAATAATTCACTTGTAAATATATGAGGACATAATTCATGTGTAAACATATGAGGATATAACAGTTCACTTGTAAATATATGAAGACATAATAATTCACTTGTAAACATATGAGGATATAATAATTCACTTGTAAACTGAAATGTTGGAGTATTCACACAAAAGATTTGATTATAAAAGGTTCATGTTAGATGATGCAAACTTTTTAGAAGGACTGATCACAAAAAATGATGCACAGTTTGGCAAAAATTCTACAAACAATATTTTTATGTTTCATTACCAGAGTTTAACCTATTTTTTGTTTTCATTAATAAGACTTCCATTATTTTTAGCCTTTTTTGCATGTAGATGATGTTATAATATTTGTGTTGTCAACAAGTATGTTACAAAAAAACTAACACTCAATAATATCAACTATGAACATGGACATAATATCTTGACCATGTTTGGAAAATGAAAACATTATATAAATACAGACATACAACAAACTATTTCTTGTTTGTATATTTCAACCTTGAAAATGGCCAAAAGCACTCAGATAAAAAGAACAATTGGACAGTTTTTATATAATTTATCATCCAAAAAGAAAAAAATTATTAGATCACATGAGAAATTGTATAAAATACTAAATCAAAGTACCTTTGTCTGTCATATTCAATGAAATGTGCATATATATATATATATATATATATATATATATATATATATATATATATATATATATATATGATTTTAGGTAGATAACTAACTATTCAGTGTTCTATAGTTAAGATAAATTCCAAGAAACAATAAAAAATGTATTACCCAGAGAAAACATTAGCACACCCATACAGAAAATATCTCAAACACTCTTGGTAAACAGCTAATGAAATAAACAAGACATTGTAAGTTCAAGGGATTGTAACGAAAGATCTTAGTGGCATTGCCTTTCAGACATTTCTGGGTTTAAGACATTGCATCCCTTCAGTGGATTCATTTGTCAGTTTGTTTGTCTGGCAGTTACAGCATATCAACAATATTTGTTATTTGTACATCGAACAAATAGGAAATAGGATTTGTTTGATGAAATGAACTTGTCAGACAATGACTTCACCCTTACTTAAATGCATACCAGAGAAAATGTACATAACTTTGCCAGTTTATATACAGGAAAGCAAAAAGCTTTATATAAATATTTATTATTGAATACAATTACATTGATGTGTTTAGACTTATATAGATTTTTCTCACAAGGTAAAAATATTTCTTTTTCCTCAGTAATTCTGACTTATAGATTCATCAAAAGAAAATTTGACATATGTAAGGGAATGCTGAAAATTTCTCATGCCAACTAAAAGATTTTCCCTTCCAAAATTCTTATTATCTGCTCATTTTGAAAATGGAGTGGGCTGAGAACTTGTGTGTGCATATATGTATATTTGGTTGGTTCATTTTCTGCCTTCCATCATTATGGCTTATGCTAACCTCCCAGAGAGTGATTTGTTGTGCCTTCTTGGGCTAACATTCTCAACTGATATGAAGGGAAAAGACTATATAGAATCCAGTGCTAGTCCTGCTGCTCAAAAAGTTGTTTCACTGTGTTGTGCTACACAATTTTACCCTCCTGAATCTATCTTATGTATCTATAAGTCTGTCATACATTCATGCTTTGAATATTGCTGCCACATATGGTCCATTGTCCCTGTTATATATTTAGAGATACTTGATAAAACCCAAAGAAAAATCAGCAATATTATTGATCCTGACCTGGTGTCTCAGATTCATTTACTTTTCCACCACCATAAACTTGCTTCCCTGTGCCTTTTCTATAAATATTTTCATGGTAATTGTTATGTGGTAATTTCCTCTGTTATGAATTTAAGCACAATACTAGATTGGCAGGAAAGTTTCATCATTTTACAGTTGAAATGACTAGATATGACTTTAAGTTCTATACTAACAGTTTCTTTCCATGCACTTCTCACTTGTGGAATTCTTTTCTAGCTTCTTCCTCTCCAGTCAAGTTTGATCTTCATAAATTTGAATGCAATATGAATCATTATCTTCTGTCTTCTTAATTTCTGTTTTTCTATTGTTTTCATTCCATAATAAGGTTTTTCATTTTCTTGTATTCTTTCACACTCAGTAACCTCCTGTGTCTTAGTGACTTTATTGCCTTGCCTGGGGTGAAATGATTAAAATATATATATATAATAAATCTCCTCAGAAGTAAAGGGAAAGTACAAAAACAAACACAAATACTACTTATAGAAATCCTACCAGAAACAAAAGCAAAAAGACAATGACATGCCTTAACAAAAGCTAACAGCACTCAATATATAAAGAAAGGTAAAATGGTAATCCAAAGCAAGACAGCTGTAAAACAAACAAACAAGGAATATGTCTAGAAAGAGCAACTTACAAATTATATCAATTCAGCATCTAATCTCCTTCAAAGTACTCCACATCTGAAGCCACATACTTTATCCAGCATCATTTACATTGATGGAACCATTCCTGAAACTCCTTTTTTGGGATAGGAAACAGTAGCCTTGTCAAATTCGCTTGGATCTCCTCAACATTTTGAAATCTTGTTCCTTTCAAGCAGGATTTGGTTTTTGTAAAGAAAAAAGTCGCAAGGGGTTAGATCTGGTGAATATGGTGGTTATTGAACTTGGGGAATGTTGAGCTTAGCCAAAAACTGCTGCACCAACTGTGGTCACTAATGGAATCTCAGTAATGTGGCAAGATGATCACACACTACACACTTTCCTTTAAAACACTGCTATAAACAATGGAAGTGAGCAAGAGCATAATTTAGTGTATGCACGACTGAGTTCAAGTTTAATTTGTGTCAAGCAGCTTTGTTCTGTGTACTATAATTGTCACCATACAACAGTCCCAATAATTTTTTATTAGACCTTGTGTGTGCATATATATATATATAGGCTGTGATGGATAAATTATGCAAAAATGAAAATAACACTGAAATTTCCTTTTAACAGGTGTATTTACCAAAATTATACAAAAAAATCTTGAAATCCTAAACAGTAAATTTATTCAATAAAATTATCGTTGGCTTCAACCACAGCCTCCAGGTGATATCAAAATCTCCTGCAACTTTTCTGGATGGTCTCTATGTTCAAGTTGGTGAATGCTATCATAATCT